ACCGTAATTTATTTTTTCTATTCATACCACAATCTGTCAAATTAGAGATAGCACGGTACAAAACATCACCTCGAGATGGGACAGTTTAAAGTATTACCAGAAGATAGGATTGTATCACACTGAGGTATCGAACAATATTATAACATTTTAAAGTGAGAACAGCACTCAATTTATCAAGCACGTTGATGATGTGCTGCATTGGCCTTTAAATCTTAGCAACTGCCTTTATAGTAAAGAGAAGACCTTCGAAAGTTATTGAAGACAAGAATGACGTGAAATAATACATATACATGCACAAACTTTTCCTCTTGTTCTATATGAAGCACAAGTCTGTTGTTGACGTAAAGTTGGTACTTTCTTGTTGATTGCTGATGGCTTTCGAGACTACATGAGAGAACTTATCTCAAACTGTTCACACACACATATATATATATATATATATATATATATTGTATATGCATAAAGAAGTGATTGCTTATTTCAATAAACATTTTCATAAAAAGCAATACTAGAAAGTCATCACATATATAATAAGCTTCTCAATATTCTCTCGAATCAAAAAGTTCCTATTTTTTCATCTGTGAAATTGAATATCATTTTCCATACAGCGGTCTTCACTTGGACAATTTTTTTTTCTTTCGTTTTTTTGGTGTCAAGTACAAAAATACCCGTCGACAGTTGTAAATGAGATTCCTGGACAAGTGCATCGACATCGTTTTACAACTTTATCCTGACTTCTTCTTCTTCTATTTAACATATCTTGATAAAATATACGACGAATTATTGATTCTAGGAAAACTTTTCATTTTTCTAGAAAATCTTCTTCTTGCATTATGCATAAATTATTAGAAAGAAAAATAATAAACGAATTTAAATACCAAAGAAGGTAAGCATGTTCATAGAAGCACAAAATTAGTAATGAAAACATATTTTTGTTTTAATCCTTCAAAGGCATTCCAGACACGTCTACCGTGATATTCTTTTATAGTTTACAGTTTATGGCTTATATAAAAGAACTGCACGAATAGCGTGACTCAAAAATAGAGGGAAAATTGCCTTGAGTGAAAAATATCATCCAAGCTGACTCTAAATTTTCATTTTTCGAAAAACCGTGTACTTTTAATTGCAAATTTTTCCTCTACAAGAATCCAATTCTTCTTTTCTACTATTTTGGAACATTCTCCGCTTTTTTGGAAATTGATTCGATTTTCACTGCTAAGAGAAAATATTCTCAGATTAAAAATAATTTGCAAAAATAGAAACACTATCACAAAGAAGAAGAAAAAGAAGAAGAATGAATGAATGAAAAATGTTGGAAATGAAAAATATTGAAAGGAACAAACATTGAATGTAAAAGAAAAACTGAAGAATATCTGGATTTAAAAACAACAAAATCTAAAAGTGCAATCAACTAAACAATTTGTCTGAAGCGATTTTCCGATTAATAAATGAAAAAGTAAACGGCAAAGTATAAGTGAAAAGCCTTTGACATCCAGCAAAATCCAGTTATGGCAACAGTCACGAACAATTTTCAAACAGACTGTTGTGCCTCTGGCAGTAAAATAACTCCAACTCGTCCTCTTTGCTTCCAGACTTCGCCATCGCTCAAGGATATTTCGATATTTACCCGACTTGCTGCATTGCCTGGTTATTGTCCCTTTTTCGCACTTATATACCTCTCTCATAATTCTTCTCGCTTGTTCTTTTCTCCAGTACTACTTTTTCTCTTTACCTTCATTTTCAGTGAGCGTTGTTCCCCACCAAGTTTTTGATATTAGAAATTGTGACTTTCCTCCTTTTTCCTTATGTTCCTGGACTTTTAGTTCTTATATTTCATTTCTTTCTCTTTTTCTCTTTCAAGAAAAAATAAAAAGCAACCTCGTAAAACTAGTTGGGAATTATCTTTCGTTATCCGCTAAGTTCAAGGGAGACAAATTCACTACAAGAATAAATGCTCAACTGCGAAAGGTGGAAACGTAGTGGTGGAATGCATCGGGATTTAAGGAAGCTTGGAAGTCCAGGTTTAGGTAAACTTGAAGGTTCTACTAAAAGTGATAGATAGTAAGCCAACAAGAGTAACTTTCAAGACTTCCTGCTTAAGTTCTATACTAGTACTCGAAACTTTACTCCATTTCCCGATGTTTCCTATACATATACACATTATAGAAACATTCAAAATACAAGTCCTTAAAACATATCACTTTAATTTCCCTAATTAACTAAAATTCTTTTTCTTTTTAATTAACTCTATAATACTCTCTGTCCCTAAAAAGAAGAATAAACGATAATAAAACTAATTATTCGAATCCTTTGTGAGATTTAATAAAAATGTTTCCAAATGAGAAACAGCATCTTCTATTCTATTTGTAGAGCTTTTAATTACCAGTTTTCGATCAATGACATTAACAACTGAAATAAATCTTCAACTTCGCCGGTAGCTAATTAGAAAAATTTAATGAGAACCGGAAATATTGAATATTTCATCTTAGAAATTTAGCGCTCAAACTGATGAAAATTTCAACTCTCGATAATAATTCATTACATTGAAAATTTAATCAACTCGAAAAATTAACTTATTTAACTGATAGAAAAATTAAATTTAAAAAAATTTTAATAATTCAAATTCTTCCTGAATTAATTAACTTTTCTAAAATATATTTAATTAATTATTAAAAATAATTGGACACTTTTAGTTGAAAAGACTAAAAAAATTTGAATTTTGGAGAAGTTATGCAAATGATTGCAGAAATTCAATTATTTTCAAAAGCAATAAAATTCTTCCCCAAAAATCAATTATGTTCAAAAATTTTTAAAAATTCACGTCAAAATTTAAATTATCTTTATAAATAATAAAATTCTTCTCTGAATTTCAAATATTCTCAAAAATTTTAATAAAATTCTTGGCAAAATTTAAATTATTTGCAGAATTTTAACACAATTCTTAGAATGAAATCAATAATCTAGATAAATATCAAAATTCTTCACAGAAATTCAATTGTTTTCAAGAATTTTAATAAAATTCTTTGTAAAATTCAATTATTTTCATAAATAACAATATTAATTACGAGAATAAAATTATTTTCAAGAGTTAAAAAAATTCTTTTCAGAAATTCAATTATTTTCAAAAATTAAAAAAAAAATTCTTGTTATGATTTCAATTATTTTTATAAATAGCAAAAATCTTCGCTGAAATTCAATTATTTAAATAAATTTTAATAAAATTCTACGCAAACAAATGTTTTTTATAAATAATAAAAATATCCCAGGATTTCAATTAATTACAAATTTTTCGCAATAATTCTATTATTTAAATAATAAAACTATTCTCAGAAATTTAATTATTTTCATAAATAATAAAACTCATTGCAGGATTTTAAATATTTTTAATTCAATTTTAATCAAATTCCTCGAAAAATGTAATTATTTTATAAAATTTTATTAAAATTCGTCGACAGAATTCAATTATTTAAAAATTTGTTGATAAAATTCTTTAGGAGAATTCAATTTTGAGAAACAATCAATTTTCTAATAAAAATTGATTTTAAAATGAATTTCAGTTGAAATTTTACATTATAATTGAATATTAAAAGCATAATAGCGTGAATTTTTGGAAATAATTGAATTTTGAAAAGGTTTAAATTTGAAATTAGTGAAAATCTGAATTCTTCATTTTTTAAACTAACAATTCTGTAGAATTAACTTTTTTTAAAAAGTTTTTTTTTTATTTATTATTATTCGTAAATAAATGTAATTGAAATTTTTTTTGAGCATCTAATGATTTTTAGGGTGAATCAGAATATTCTTTATGGTCAAAAAAAGACAAAGTTTTGTCTAGAAATCAGAGAAAAGTCAAGAAAAATCCAGAAATTTTTTTAGCAAGCCTGATAATGGAATTAAATTATTGGTCTTCATTATATTCGAAATATTCAATAAAAGCTGATTTCAAATTTAATTAACTACAAATGAACCTTTAATTAAGGTCATAATTGAATTAATTAATTACAATTTAGAATAAATTCCTAATCGATTTGTAAAATAACATTGCAATTTCAATTGCATGAAAGATGAAAGAGAATGAGAGAAATAAATATTAACATAACATCTTACCTTGATTTTAGGAAATTTCATCTGATTTTGATAGAAATCGACTTTCAATAGAGCGCATCGGTTTTCCATTGGAAGCCACAAGGCTTTGCATGATCGTAGTTACTCTCGTGCTCTGAAATTACAATATGAAATTTCAAACTTAATTTTACTGGCATTTTGACGTGCATCACTGGCAAGTTTATTATAGATTGTGGTCACATTCTTCAAATTCATATAACGCTTTAATACAAGTTTTAATGTTATTCATAAGTTTATATAACCATAAGCATATTTCCCGCTATAAACTACATCATAATTCAATTTTCAAACATTTCAAAATTAACCAAAATATTTCATTTCAAATGATAATAATTATCTTGTTAAAATGTTTCAAATATTTAATTATTCATTTAATGTCACAATGAATTTTTTTCTACTTAAATTTAGCTTTGTTTGCAAAACGCAAATAAAATTTAATAAATCGAATGTTTTCAGCACAAAATAATGCATTTGTTCTAAAATTTAATAATTAATTAATTAATTGTATTTAATGACTTTCACGTTTCTTGAAACTCACACTTTTGAATTCAATGTCAGAATAAACTGTTCATGTCTTTCTCCTCTCGTATGTTTTGATCTGCACAAAATATTTGTCTCTTTTCGGATGATTTCGAATTGAATATAATTAAAATACACCACTAAGCTTGGAACTTCTCACTGACAATTAAACTAACAATATTTAAAGACAGCAACAAAGAGCAAAACCCGCCAAAAACTGAGAACAATGCGCCACTTGGTGACATTATGAGTAACTAAAGTGTCGGTAAGAAAGAACAAGAAACATGTCGATAAAGAGGAAACCTTTGCCATCTATCGAAAATATTCTGTACCACAAACATGACAGTCGATAAATAATATTATTAATTGTAAACATAAAAGTTCTTTTTTTAAAAAACGAAAATTACAAGAATAAACATTCGTTTATAAAAAATAACTCATTTTTATAAATAATATATCTGTAGTGAATGACTATTATTCGAAATTTAATAAAGATCAATAAAATAAGTTATGTTTATCGTAAAATTCCAGAAGGCAGAATGAATCGAATGAATTGTTTACAGAAAATATAAAACGTGGCTTTAAATATAAATAAAATAATTCTAATTGTAAACAATGGCTTTTTACGATAATCAACACTGGCTTTTGTCCCACATTAGGGACAGCTTTATAAGCACAGATGATACAGGTTTGTAAAAAAAACTCTTTGAGGTTATGTTTCTAATTGTCCCGAATCTTCGTATATTTATAAACAATTCATCGGTATATGCAAATTTACCTAAAATCAGCAAAACTAGACCAAAATTCTCCAAATCAATATCTTCTTTATTAGTTCAACTCAATAAATGATGAGATAATTGAAAATTTATGATAAGATAAATTAGCTTTCGATAAATTATTCATTAACAAGTATTTTTACAGGAATGTGTGAAATGGTAATGGCAGGAGAAGATATTCCTAAAATACTTCACTCAAATGGAACACTTCAATGTTATCCAGGAATGGAGGAAAGTGACGAAGAGGATTTAGACGCTTTATCAGAATCCTATGACATTTCATTTGGTACTAATTTAAATAATCATTCTATTTTGAAAACATCATCATTCATTCTATAAATTATATTTAAATGTTAAATTATTAGGTACTTTTATTCTAAATTATTAATTTTTCACTACAAAAAAAGCTTCTTGTTCTGCCTATTGAATAAAGTAGAATTATTTTCAAAATTGAAGTTTTCCTTATTTAATTTTATTAATTAATCGAAATTGTTTTTCAGATATGGAATACAGTCATCGACAGCGATCAAATACTGCTCAACGATTGGAAAAAATGGATATCGAAAGGAAAAAGGCATCGAAAGTAAAACACATAAAATGGGAGAATAATTCTGGAATTCTGACAAGTGAAAAGCAACAAGAACTATTTCAACGAAAGGACTTTCGGAAAAATGATAATAAAGCGAAAATAGGTTCCTTGTTATCGGAACAAATTGAAAAATGTCCTAAACTTCCACAAAATCCTTTCACCAAATACGCACGATTCGATGGAAACGTAAGTAATTTTTAATTTTTAACAACTAAAAAGAAAATAAGAAAATAATATAAGGAACAAATTTATTTCAGGCTCAAGTGGGAGTTCCGGTACGAAAATACAGAATATTTATGTGCATGCTACCGAAAGAACAAAGATCCTATCCTCTTCAAGTCGTTGTCATAATGAGCGCAAAAGTACAGGACTTCATTGGATTAATATGCTACAAATATGCCTGCAATCATTACGATCATACACTAAAGTAAGAATATTTCTCGTCAAACAAACATTTTGTTTTTTTAATTAAATAAATTTATTTTTAAATTTACCTTTGTGTATTCATTTCAGACAAGACATTAGCCAGTACGGTCTTTACATAACAGAAGACGATGGAGAGGTAGATTGGGACTTTCCTTGTTTGGATCCACGCGAAACAATATCGAAATTTGAATTTACAACATTGGGTTTAGTGGAAATGAAACCAAGCGATAAAGCCCGGCACGACACAACAAAAACAATCGTAACAAAAGATGTCGTGGAAGATAAAAGGGAGAGAGAGCGAGATATAGCCGCTGAAGATTTAGCCAAAATGGAAGGCCATACAACGGCAATGGAAGCACCGCTTTATCAATTATATAGGTACATAAGCTCAGAAAATCCCATTTCAATTCAAATGTATTATTTTACGAAAATTACTTTGCTTTACAATGAAACAGAACATTTAATTGTTTCCTATTAAATATCACAGGGTATACATAATAAACAAAGTACGAGCTAAAACTGAAATACATCTCGGTATTTCGGGGGAGAAAATAGAAATCGATCCAGTGATAACGGGAAAAGGAGCCGGTCGCTTCTGGAGCAAACAGCGTGCAGTCAGTTATCACATCGATCGAATCGCTTGGTGCGAACTCATCGAAAATAGAGGATCAAAAACAATTTTTACTCTCGTTTACACATCACAGAATTCCAATCCCGAAGGTTTCATTGGTAAGAATATTGTCAAATTTTCATATCAAAAAAATTTAAATCCTAATATCAAAAAAATTTTAATTAAAATTTGTTTCCCAGTTTCCTCCAGTCATCCTCTTCATCAGTCAGCATCTTTCAAAAATCACGAATTCGAAGCCGATTCTGCCACTGCCGAGGAGATCGTAAAAAAAATCAATCACATTCTCGAGCTACGAAGTAGTTTATCAAGAAAAGAATTTCTCGCTCAAAAGGAACGTAAAGCCGCGAGACGAAAGAGTTTTCATTTACACAGATGACGACTCTATTTTATAGTTCACGAAATTTTTGAATTTTTGAAAAATTTTACAAACACCGAAACAAATCTAAACAGTTTACTCTGACAGATTTTTCAAACTGAAAATATTTTCACCCCAAAAAACAAGCTTCACTATACGCTAAATATTCTCTCTATCGTCTACATTTGTCAATTTTAATTTTCCAAAGAAAGAAAAAATCCGAAATATTCGAAAATTCACGACAATTTCTTTTCACTTTCGCGAAATATATTTTAATATTTTAATATTTTAATAAAATTTGTAAATTATATTTAAATTTTCTAATTTTTTAATTAAATATACGTAAATTTTTGTAAATTAAATTTTAATTAAGTTTAGAAAATAATTTTAAACTTAATTTTATATTATCTATATTAATATTTTATATATAATTTGTAAAACTGATGAGACTGTATCCTATAAACTAAATAATTCGAATAAAAAAAGAAATATAAAAATATTAGAAAAAATTTGTATTGTTACCGAGTATTTGTTATTTATCAATCATCGAAATTAATTTCTCCTTTGCCTCATTCATTTTCTGTTCACATAATGATTGAAGGTATTCGTATCGTTGAACGTAATGTTGATTAAGAATGACAGTCTTCACTGTCATGTCCATGAGTTCCTTGGTGTTGTTCATCAGAAGATCCAAATTTGGACGATTATCAAAGAATTTTCTTTCATCCGCCGACAATAAATTCAAATCAACTTCTTGTCCTTTTTTCTTCAGTTTCGATTTTTTTTTCATGAGTTTTTTGTATTCTTCCTGACGTTCTTTTATCACATCACGCCAATCAGAAATTTCTACTTTCAATTTATCAACATACGCTTGTAAATCAAAAGCTTCGGCAACATTCTGCGCATCTTGGTTGTTCTCTTTTGGTGCTGAGGAGTTGTCATCAATTTTCGTTTCATCCAAACCTGAAAAAAAATAATGTCAAATTAATTAAATGAAAATTAAATAATAAATTGAATTTATCTTAGTATAACAAAATAATTAGACCATAATTATAAAATACCGAAAATACCGATGGGAATTTGCATAAGTTTTTACAAAATATAAATATTCATAAAGAGATAAATTCTATTCTATAAATATTTCTAAATACAACAAAAGATTTTATAAAACAACAGAGAAAAATTCTTTTTAAGTGTAAACAAAATTAATATTTGGTATCGCAAATATGACAAATACAAAAAGTACAGAAAGCAGAAACAATTTGTAAACATAACCTAAAAACAACAAAACTTTTCGAACCTTCCGAAACATTGTTTTCTCCTGTAAATAATATGGATCTTCTTTGAAAAACAGATGAACGACGCTTTCGAACATCTGTTATTTGTTCATCTTCTAATTCCATTCTTATCGTTAAATTCTTCAAAATATAATTTAAACAAAAACAAATAACAAACTTTCTTAACGTCAAGCGTTCGAATAAAATTTTGGCGGGATTTGCTTAGCGACCCCTGCAGGTGTTGCTGGGAAACGATTGAAACAACCAATCAGAAGAAAGAATAAAAAACACGATAAACGAGCGGGAAATTTTAAATAGTTCATAGATAATTTTCATTAATCGTTTATTTAAAAATTAAAACTTGAACAAAAAATTAAGAAAATGATATAAAATAATAAAGCTATAAGTTTTCTATTAGAATTAAAAATTAAGGAATTTATTGAATCCAAGTATTCATCAATAAATAAAAATTTATTACAATTTACAGAATATTATAAGGAAGAAAAATTATAATTTTTAAAAATATTTCCAAATAAGAATTTTCCATAAAACACAATTATTGTACTATTCGAAAATATTACAAGTCAATCCCATCGTTCCCAAAAATAAAAAAGATAAAAATTCCTTTCACCCCAAAAAAAGAAAAATATTTGATGAAAAAGCAAACCACACTATACGATTATTCCTAAAATTAATTTGGTTTCACAAAGCGTAAAAATATTTACGAAATAAATTGAAAATATCCTAAACAACCTAATGGTAACAATTCAAAGTACAGTCGAAAGTAAAAACTAATTATTTAAGAAGACTATAAAATTATTGCACTGAATAATTGAATATTAAGTTTTAGACATTATAGAAGATACTTATAAGTAATTTTAATTTCAAAAGAGCAATATTAAATTATTTAAAGAAATATAATAATGTATTTTCCATTACATAATTATATGTAATTTTCCACAAAAATAAATTATTATTAATAAATTATTATAGGTTCAAATATGTTATTAATATTCAATAAATATAATATTTCAATAAAATAATATTCATAAATATTCAATGAATATAAAAATTTATATTCATTGCATCAAATTTAAATTACAAATATCTTTTCTAATTACTTAATAAGTATCTCCAATAATAATTTCCATCCATCCGATTTGACATAATTCACTAATCGATGGAAGAATAATAATTTGTCGAGTATATACTGATTTCAAGTACAAAAATATAACTCACTCCTTTGCAACGATTTCATAAATTAATTTCATAAAAAAAGATTATGAAATTAATAAATATTCACACATATACAATATAAATTTCTATAATAGAAAAACACTCTCCATATCGACTAGCTGATAAAATTTCACAACTATTTGGAACATTTTTAGCATTAATTCAATTTTTTTCATTTCAATTTAGAAAAATGCATCATTGAAATAATAAATTAAAAATTTTTTCTAATCATTCTCAAAATATACAAGAATAATTTGAAAATAAAGTAAAATTCCACACAAGAAAAAAAGGATCTAGTGTATATAATTTTTGGTTTTCAGGAATTTAAAAATTCCAAATTTTGATAAAATATAACAACTTTTAGAAAATCATTTCATTAGACTTGAAAATTTAAAAGAGAAAATAAAGACAATAGTCGAATATAATAAAAAATAAAAATCAATTATGCACGTAATAAACTGACGTGATAATAAAAAATTATGTTAAAAAAATTATTTCACAAAATTTCAGAAATCAGTGAAAGTAAAATTAAAAATAAATGATGAAATTGAAAATAGGAGTAGAAAAACATTTGCTTGACAAAATCATGCAGATAATTAAAGATGAAAATAAAAAAATGAGAAAAAAGAAATGGCTAGAAAGAAAAATGTTCCCGAAAAAAATTATGCCTGTCGATAAAACTTTTTCATGAACGATGTAATCGAAGATATAAATAATATTGCAATAAATAAAATCGGGAGTGAAAAAATATTATGAAAATATATCTTCATCTATTTGATATTGAGTTTGAGTGTCAAATTTCAATTCTATTTCTTCGTCACTTTCTTCGAATAAACATTTACGTGATTTAACTGCTGATCGACAGGTACTTTTTTCAGGAACACTATTTACAACACTATTCACAATATCTTCGAGTTCTTCGTCCATTATCGAACCTCTACGTCTCAGTGGAATCGAAAATGATTGTTTTTCATCCAATTTTTTACTTTTACTTGGAGTCGATTCTAGTATTCTATTAAATGAACTACTTGTCGAAGGTTTTGGACTAGAAGACCTACTGTCATCAACACGAACTTTCTCTTCAATTTCCATTTCCCTCTTAGTGTCAAAATCTACAATTTTGTCCTCAGTTTTTAATTTATTACAACTCGCATTACTTGTCGAAGGTATCGGACTATCAGTAACATTCATTTCTTTCTCATCGTCACTAATTTCCTCATCAGTCGACAATTGATAAGCAGACGGTTCGTATTTTTCCTTCAATTTTTCAATTTCTCCCACTAGTTCCCTAATTTTCCGTTTCTTTTCATTCAAAAGTAAAATAAATTTCGACAGCAAATGTTTTTCTAAATCCTTCATTTTTATCATTTCCTCTAATTGACACTTGAAACTTTCATTCTCATCGCGCAATTTTGTATTTTCCTCAGAAATTGCTGAGGATATTGTTTGACTAAGAATGAAATCTTCAAGTGTTGTTAGAACTATATCGGAAAAATTAGTGATGTCGGTTTCGGGAAAAAGTTTTATGGAGCCCCTTGTCCATAAACCTTCTTCCCATTTCAATAGATTTTCTTCCAAGTAAAATTTATAATTTTGTACCTTTCCCGAGAAGGCTTTTTTTGTTTGTTCTTGAAATTCTTCCTCACCCCCCGGAAATGATTCCGCCGCCATCTCCCACAATTCAGAGGTGGTAACCTAAATATAAATAATTTTTAAATTATCAAAATTAACATTTTGAATTTCAATTATTTTATTTTTGAATTACTGAAATAAATTTATTGTTAATTGATTTATTATTTCGATTTTAATTAGAAAAATATTATTTTAACAAAACTCACATCTCCAATCAGTGGGTAATTATTGTTTCTCAATATGAGAACTCGTATTCGATAGCGCAAAAATTCAGAACACAAAATAAAGTTGTCTTGACTGCCATTTGCCGAATTGGAAAATTTGTTGACTGTTGTAGTCATCCCAGTAAACTATTTTAACAAATTTTATGTAAATAAAATTAAACTATGAAAAAGTATGTAACTAATTATATAAGATTTTTTATGTTATCAATTATTTCACCCCCTTTAAACTCTGAATAATAAATTTAGTATTAAGTTACTAATTATATTATTTAATTTACAACTTAAATTTCAGGTTACATTTTTTAACGGTGATAACGACTTTTGAACTTCCCAACCGAGCAGGTTACGACAAGTTTCATCGAGCAAGACTCGCTTTTGTTAAAGTTATTCGTTAACATAAATTTTAACTTTAACGCCACTTTAGTAATTTTCTTACAATTACAAAAACAATATAATAATTTTTAATAAAGAATTCGTTTTAATAAACTATATTTTATCTTTACTTTTCTATTTTGTTTACTCAAAAAACAATTCGGAAATATTGCATATTTTAAGATAAAACACAAACATTAAGGAAAATAATAATAATAGTTAATAACCGAATATTTACCTGTTTGTAATTCTAATTAATTAATTATTTATAATTGTTTTTTTAATATTTTTTATTAACGAAAAACTTGTGATTTGTTTGTCTGTTTGTTTACGGGATTTAACTGAACTGAAATTGCGTACGTTGTCAATAAGGTTAGGTTCGTTTTTCGGAGCAAACGTCACGTTCCTGATTGGTTGAAATTGAGCGCGCTAATTTAAAATTATCAGTTGGAATGTTGAAAAAATACATTAAAAAAAAATACTCATTATACAAAGGAATTTTAATTAATTATGTTTAATCAAACAAATAATTTACAACAATAAAAACTTGAAGAAAGTATTCTAAACTTATATTTTTTCAAGAAAAATCATAATTATAAGAAATAAAATTTAAATTACGCGGGGATACCTCGACCAATCAGAAAATAGTTTCATTTTTATAATTAACGCATGCGCAATTGACAAATGGCGTCTAACCTCATTCTTGCGCAATCTCATTATAGCCAATGTGGAGCAATGTGGAGTATAATTTTAATGCTTGTTGAATCAGTTTTTTTTGTTACAATTTTATGCATTTAAGATTAAATGATTATGAATAGAAAGATAATAAAACGTGAGTGAGATACTAGCAGACGACAAAAACACGTTTATAACTGAAAAACACGTTTTTCTATTAGTTCTACTGATTAGCAGAAAGTTTGTGACAATTAACGATTTTTTAAACAATCTCAACTATAAATATCAAACTTAACAAGGTTTGTTTGTTACCTGTTATTTATTAATCAGTTACTATGATAATCTCTATTTTTAATTTACATTTACATTGTTTTTAGTGTAACACTAATTCTTTTAATGTTAATAATACTAATTCTTTTAATGTTAACACTAATTCTTCTATATTGCAAAACAATTTTTATTCTACATAATCTGGGGGAATAAAGTTTTTCATGAATCATAAAAAAACAACAGTTTTTTACTTTTAAACGTTTTGATTAAATAATTTATCACTGTGACGTAAATACAAGTTGAAAATATTTTCCACTTTATTCGATTATGCACGCAATACCTATAATTTTTCAATTACGTTGTACTTTAGTCTAATTTTGAATGTCTCCCAAGCGTGTCATTAAAGCAGATTTATCATTTCTTAATAAACTTTTCGTTAAAGTACCTATCGAATAAAAACTTCAGTTTTTATAATAAATTTTGTACTTGTTTTAATTTCAATATTTGATTACTTTATTTTTTTTTAAAGGGTGAAGACTGTGATGGAAAGAAATTTTAAAGATTGGAAACCTTTCATCCACGGAGGTTTGGCTTCCATTATTGCTGAATTGGGTAAGAAATTAATTAAAATATAATTTTCCTGACACTAGAAAAAGAAGTAAATAAAATTATCGAATTCTGTTACAGGAACATTTCCATTAGATACAACAAAAACCCGTTTGCAAATACAGGGTCAAAAACTTGATAAAAAATATGCATATTTAAAGTATTCTGGAATGACAGATGCGCTCGTTCAGATTTCAAGACAAGAAGGAGTTGGAGCTTTATATGCTGGGTATGATTAGTGCAAAAAAAAATTACTTAAGTCATTAAGATCTCATTTAGACAAGTCATTATGATAAGATAAAACTGATCTTTCTCATTTTCTTCGATATTATCAATATTTAACATTCGATTATTTTATTTTTTAGAATAAGCTCAGCAATTTTGAGGCAAGCAACGTATGGAACAATTAAATTCGGAACATATTATTCCTTACAAGAATTTGCAGTGGAACGATGGGGCGATGATGATTTATTTTTAATTAATATTATTTGCGCCGCATTGGCTGGTGGAATATCGAGTGCAATTGCAAATCCAACTGATTTAGTTAAAGTTCGAATGCAAACCGGTCTCAAAACAAGTTCCTCACTTTTTGGATGTTTTCAAGATGTTTATCTCAATGAAGGCATTCGCGGACTTTGGAGGGTAAACCGAATTATATTTTCATTTTATTTAGTATAGCAATAATAATTAATTTATTATTATAACATAGAAAAAAACTATTTGAAAAATAGAAAAATATTTGAAGAAATTAAAATCTGTAAATTACAGGGTGTTGGTCCAACGGCGCAACGAGCTGCAGTTATCGCTGCTGTGGAGCTCCCAATTTACGATTTTACCAAAAATAAACTCATTGATATCATAGGAAATAATGTCACTAATCACTTTGTGTAAGTTTTGAATTTTTTTTAACTTTTCAATTTAAAACGAAATTTTTTTAATAGGTCTCTTTTTTTCGTGAGGACAGGTGAAAACGACTTGAGCGTCAACAGTTAGAATGTTTTTTTTAAGTATAAAAACAAAACACAGGGGTCAGCTTAAAGTTCAAAGTAAGCAATAAAATTGATGAAAAACAAAATAACAAAATAATTATCACGGAATTGTAAATAAATCGAGACTATCCTGTTCGAATTATCGTAACCCTTATCCAGGTCTGAAATTATTAATTTTTCATGAATCTCTTTCTCAATATGTCAAATAAAAAGTTACTTTTATTTAATTTTACATATATATTTCAGTTTATATGTATTTAATTTTGAATTAAAAATTTGGAGAGAAAACGCAAATTTAAATACAGTGAAATGAGTTCATTTTTATTTTTAATGTTTTACTTTTGAGATAATTTCATTTTCAGGTACTATTCGCAGTTGTGATGACGACAGAGACTTGAATATAGAAGCTGTCCTGCGTCAGAGAATTCCATCGAAAATATCACTTCATCTACTTCAGTAAATTAATCTTGGTTAGCAATCACAATTTTTGAACTCTAATTTTTATACCAAAATTTATTCATACCGTACATTTCTTTTCACTTGGATAAGGGTTTGACAATCAAAAAATTTACATGAACTAAAAACAAAGTAACTAATTTTCAAATGTTTAAGACTTATTTTTCATTCATATTGTTGTTTTGTCTAAAAATGGAAAAATTAAAGAAAAGCTTTACAAAAAAAGAAATTCTAACAAGTATTTTGTTTTTATGAAGAATGAAGAATTCCTTTTTAGCGAAAAATTACGAATATTTCCTGAGAAATATTGTATCCAACAAAATTAAAAAATAATGTAATATTGTTTTAAAGAATTTTTAATTTTTAATTTGCAGGTCAAGTTTTGCAGCGAGTATGGCGAGTGCTGTCGCTTCAACGCCAATTGACGTTGTTCGTGTAAGTATTTAGAATAAAATTAAAAATAATTAAAATTCAAATCATATTTCAAGAAATTTAATTTTTTCAAATTTTTTCAAGACTCGACTGATGCATCAAAGGAGAGTTCGAACAACTTCTGGAAAATTACCTTCACACATTTATAATGGAAGTATAGATTGTTTACTACAAGTAAGTCATAAAAATTTTCTACAATTTTTGAATTTTTATAATTATAGAAAATTAATATTATAAATATAATAAAGTAAAATTAAACTTTTTAATCAAATTTATTTTCTTTCCAGACAATAAAAAATGAAGGATTCCTAGCTCTCTACAAAGGATTTATACCAACATGGTTTCGAATGGGACCTTGGAACATTATTTTCTTTATAACATTCGAGCAACTCAAGAATCTATAATAATAAGTAGAGAATTTTTACAACTAATTCGACAATTTAATTAAAAAAAGACCGAAAGGACACAAAAAAACCAATTCTTATGAAGAAGAAATAAGATAAAATTTTTAAAATCAGAACGAATATTAGAAAAAGGAAACTAAAAAAACCCCCCAAAGAAAAAACTATCAAAACTTCAAAAATGAAGAAAATCAAACAAATTTTTGATTTCGAAATTTCGAATCTCGGGTTCTCTACTTTAAAAAAAAAAACAAAAAAAAGAAAGTTGAGAAAAGTTCAAAGTATGAAATAGTATTATGAAAAGAAATATTGAAATATATTTTTAATACAAACTCGAGAGACACATAAAAAGATTTCTTTAAGAAATTGCTTGTTTATTCAAAATATGAGATATTTTTGAATTTTGTATTGGGTACTTAAATTTTATTAGCAAATTTCTTTAAATCAATTTTTTTGCGCCAGAGAGTCAATTAGAGTATTATATTATTTACAATACATTATATATAAAAAAAAAATCTTTAACAAATAAAAATAATTAAATTAACCCAACTCTACCTCTGAAAATTATGTGATGAAATTAAGCATTTTACAAGATGTCTTTTTCTCTTGATCATTATTTAAAATTTTTTGCATTTTAGATAAGTTTAAACTGTATTTTCAATTCCTAGATTCTAGGACATAAGATAAATAGTTAAAAACAAAGAAATATTAAAAAAAAAAATTATTCTTGCTAGTCAAGTTCTTCCACCAAAGCTTTAAGATTGTATTACTAATTTTTAAAGACAATATTTTTGAATTTCATCTAATTTTATAATTGATATACGCTTTTTTTAATGATCATGTTATTTATTGCAATCATTTGAAATTCTTACGCATCATAAAAAAAATTTTATACAGCCATAATCAATACTATAAACAGTCTTCGTTTCTATGTACAATAAAAAGAAATTATATATTTCAAAAAATATGCATATTAAAAATAATTTTTAAATCAATTTCTTTTAATTCGTTTTCAATAGAATTTTTATCACATTAAATGAAATTTTAATTCATTTTATTTCACTTTATTATCTGCTTTTAAAAATAATGAATTTAATTTATTTACTCCGAAAATAATCGTCAATCGATATCCCAAACTATTATTTTTCTATCTTTACCGCCTGTTATCACCTTTTTATTATCAATTGTCACAACTATTGATGTAACAGGACCTGTAATCAAAATGGACAAAAAATTTGTATACGTTGTTATATAGGAAAAATTCTCGAGATTTTTAGATTGTTGTAAAGCTTCTAGCGATTTATAATCTTTTTGGAGCGAAAAAGAGAAAGAGAGAAAAAAGTAATGAAAAATTTTAAAGAAATAATTATAAATGTAGGTAGAAAATTGCGCTTTGTATTTAGCAAGTGTGTGAGAACGAAAAGAAAACTTGTAAATTTGTGAAGTATGAAATGTAAATAAAAATTTTTTTTTCGAATTACCATTATGGCAATTGAATTTTGAAATCCAGTTGAATTTCGGATCCCAAAAACTAACATCTCCCCAGCCATCGCCAATTAATAAAAGCGAGTTTAACCAAGTCAATGACAATGCCTCCACTTCCAAAATTTTGCTACAAATCTGAGTGCCTGTTCGAAAATCCAATACACTAAGAACTTTATCTACTCCACAAGAAATTATATTATTTGATTCGGGCTCAAACGTTAATGCATTCACTTTACCCGAATGTCCTATAAAAATCACATTTTCAATTAATAAATTGTAACATTTTTTTTTTAATTATTTAAATTACTAACGATATGCATTTAGATTACCTTTAACGTTAAATTGCAAATTATAAGTTTCCATGTCCCATAAAAATATTTCCCCATCCTCTGTTCCTGAGACTAATAAAGTTTCATCTCTGAAAATACAGTTTCAAATATAGAAAACGAAAGAAAATTCGCTAAAATCATAAATAGAAAATCAAAAAATATTTCGTTACCTAGACAAATTAATGCAATTTACTTTACACTCGTGATCGAGTTGAGCGACGAGACACTCGGCAACTCTAATTTTCGTACCGGAAGTATAACTTCTCCAAATTTTTACCGTACAATCCCACGAACCGGAAATAATAACATTACTTTTCGAACTATAAGCTAGGCAAGAAACTGCATCCTCGTGTCCTAACAACGTGTCTATCACTTTACCAAACTCTACATCATAAAACACTCTGAAAATAATAAATATTATTATTATTATTATTATTATTATTACCATCATTATTATTACTATTAATATCGCTACCATTATTTTATTTTACAGACAATAAAATAATGAATTAAATTTATATTTAAAATGGGAAATTTGAATCAGTTGAATAAAAGGCATTTTTATTATAATTTTCAACTCACAAATTATTGTCCCACGAACCAATGACAATGACACTGCATTGAGTTGAAATTTGATATGATATGCATGAGGATAAGGGCAATAAAGAGACAGTAACGCTTCTAGTTAACTTTTGCGAATTAATGGAGTAAAATTTTAAATTCCCATCACAACCCACAGAGACAATGTCATTTAAATGTGCTCCTTCTTTCAAAACAGAAACACAATTAACTCCTTCCTTGTGTGATTGAAAATGCATAGATTCTTTCAATAAAATTTCGCTACTCTCCTTTTCTGAAAAAATCAATTTATACAATTAATTTTATTTATGAAATAAAATTAATAAACAAAATAAAATTAATAACCGATAAAAAATACTATTTAATGAAAACAAAAACTTTCAAACCTCTATTTGGTAAATTTAAATATTTTGTTCCATTGGAAGATTGAAATATTGTAGACAATCCTTACCGTTCGATTTGCATTGTGGTTCTGTTAAAATAGTTTCAGAACGAATAAAATCACTCGAAATTTGTCGTTTTGGATGTGGCAGGGTAAAAACCTGTTTTGGAACCTGTCCAAATTCCATAATTTGCACTTCGATTCCATGTCGATCGTTTCCATCGCGAATTGTGTCTAAATCTACAGCTCCTTCGTAACATAAATGAAAGAACACTGCAAGAAAATAAAAATAATAATAATAATAATAATTAGAAATTAAATAAAAATTATCAAATAGGTAATAAATAGTTTATTTCAAATAATTACCATTATTAGCCTTTTCAGCTTCTTCTCCTTTCTGTTTGTAGCCGAAAATCAAATCGATCCAATTATGCAAATTTTCCGAAACCCAATTACTCTCCAATGCGCTGCGTAATTTATTTACAAAATCAGAAGGACCTAAAAATATTTAAATTAAAACATTTTTTCTTTTCTTTCACTTACAATTCTTCATTTGCAAATAAAAAGTTTAGCTTTATAAAATATTTTCAATATTTAAAAAAAAGTAGATATTAATTAAAATTAAAACAGAAATTGCTGAACCTTCAGCCCAAGGTGGAAGAAGAACGTCTCCAACTTTTGTTCCATCGTGTCGATATCCAAAATCAATACCATATCCATTCACCAAAAAATCACCTTTATTCGATACATCATAAAAAGCTGGAATAACTTCCTTAAAATCTGACATATTCACCATAACATTTCTCCAAACATCCGACACACTGTAAAAAAAATTTATAATGAAACATTTATTTTTATTCAAAATTCGAAATAGTATTAAATTATTACGTGCAATTCGAAATAAAAGAAATATTACCAATTAAACATTCTGTCAGCATGATCAAATCTTCCATTTTGAAGACACAACATATACTGAGGATATTTTCTGACAAGATAAAATAATACAAATCCTGGCGCACTATAATGCGATCCATAGAGGAATTTCGGTTCTGACATTTCCTCGTACCTTTCCTGAAATTTACAATTATATTTATCAATAATAGACAAATTAATGTCAATTACAATAATTATAACAATTAAAACGTCTTAGAGTAGTTTTATAATTACTTGTTAACAGTAAAAAATAATTATTTTACCTTCAACCTTTCTAATCGCAGGGGTTCCAAAGCTCCAATTGGTTTACTCAGATCTCTATAAATATTAGGATCCTCTAAATCTAAAGTATCGGAGGTATAATCGTTAATTATCCAAGGCATCACAGGATATTGGGTTAAATCATGAAACGTACGATCTGCTAAACTGAAGAATAAATTATTATTAAAAAATTAAGTCTTCCATTGCTTATAAAATAATTAAAAATATCGAATCAGTTTCATCGTTTTTAATAAATTACCTATTAATGTAAAGAAGATAATCATAATTAGATAGTATTCCATTTTGCCACTGCATTGTCATTTGATTTTGTGGAATAGTTTCCAAACTAACTTGAGATTGTTTCAATAAATTAGAATATAAATTATCTCTGTCTTCCTGATTGCTTAGTGATAAAAATAAATATTCCGGCTTCCCATCCGCCACTTTTGTCCATTTAATTTCGAGTCCCTAAAAAAGCAACACCCTCATTAAAATATAGTGAAATTAATAAATTATGCAAGAGTATATTATTAATACAATAAAAATAATTATTAAGCGATCCTACCACTTGTCGCAAGAGAAATCTCCTTTTTATCACATTCTTAATGTCCTTGAGTTGAATTTTCAAAACTGGATGCTAAAAAATAAAAATATCATTTACTATAAATTTAACTTGTTTGGAAAAATTAATTTCTTACCTGATCCATATTATTATAAGGCTGAAAATAGATTCGACTATTTGTGAGTAGAACTCTTCCTGGATTGACAACGAGTGGCAAAACTTTATTAGCTTGCACTTCAATAACAACTTCTTCGTAAAGATCCTCGAGCCATGAAGTGTCAAACGAAACTCGAGATTGTCTTGAATGAACTATTGCCATTATCTTACAACAAAAAAAGAATTTTAATATAAAACAAAAAGGAGACAATTTAATTATTATGTCACAATTGACTAAAATTAATAAAATAGTAATAACCATTGAATTTTGCTCAGCTGTTGGTAGACTAGCTGCTCTCAACAATTGCAAAATTTGAGCGAGACAATCCTCGACATTGGCATAATTAAAATTAAATTGAAAACAAGTCTTTTGATGTATAAATTTATAAGGTGCCAACACATTTCCCTCCAACATTTTGACAAAAGATTTACACTCGATGGACAAGTTATTCGATCTAGAAAAGTGAAATATATCATAAAACCCGTTAAACTTGTCAATAAATAAATAAATAAAAAAAAACAATTAAATTTCTTCCTTCAATTATTATTTTAACTCACCCTGATATTGTATTGCCTGCATTGGTAATCTCAGCCAATATTGTTTCTTTTAATTGAATTTTAATTAACGGTTGAGTGATATCCTTATTTACAAAGACCAAAGATTTTGAACAAACTTTCAATCTTCCTTCAATCCATTCGTTATTCTTTGAATTCGAAGGCTCGAGAAATCTCATCTGGGCACTGTAATCTTCAAAAAATATTTCTCCAGGCTCCAGGAGAAGCATTGTAAATCTACAATAATAAAACATGAAAGTAAGCAATAATAATAATGAATCACAATTTTAATTGTTATTATTTAATTTAAAACTAAAAAAGCAACATAGAATTTTACATACCTTTCTTTCTCCATTGTTGATTTTTATTAAAAACACAAATTACAAACAGAATATAAACAAAATCGAAAAAGATTTCGTTATTACAGAGTCAAAAGCGACGCAAAATATGTAAAAAAAATAATTTCAAATATAAAAATTTCACATTTTAGGTTAAGTCCAAGTGTCATCACTTTTTATTCATTTTCCTCCTTCAATTAATATATCTTCTTCTCAATAAAACAGTTCTTCCTACACACTATACAAAAATATCATAAGCAAACTCTTCTATTATACTCCAAATAATTAGATGACAGTTCTAAAAAACTGTAAGGAACTGTCAAAAAATATAAATTTGACCTTGAATATTTACACAGACACAATACATTCATTTTATAAATTACGAGTAAAAAATAATAAAAAAAATAAAAGTACTTCTAACGACAGAAATAACTTGAATATTCCTATCTATATATATTTTTCGAAAAAAATTAAATGACATAAAATATATGAGTAAACCGGAAAAAATTAAGTAGAAAACTGTTTTACAGTTTGTGAAAATGTAGAAATTATTACCAAGATACATTTATCCATTGTCGGTAAACAATTTTCTTTTATCAGTACTTAAAAATATACTTCAAAATTCATGATTAATTAAGAAATAATATATTTTTGTCATTCAAAATTGTACAAAAATTAAGATAAGTTTTTAATATTATGAAACAAATGAAACAATTTTTTTTTAAATTTTCATCTCTGTTTAAATACTGTTTGATAGGGTGATTTCATAACTGACCGTGTGGCCTAATGGATAAGGCGTCGGACTTCGGATCCGAAGATTGCAGGTTCGAGTCCTGTCACGGTCGAAAATTATTTTTTTGTTAATTTTAATTACTTTAATAGTTTTCATTGTTTGTATTTCAATCAATAGTTTACAATCTTAGAAAGTTTTTTTTTAAGTAGTGTTGCATTCGAGAATCTCTCCTTTCATAAAAGAAAAAAGAGACAGAACAGATTCATTTGTTTGCCATGTATTTTTGACGAGGTTTTCGTTTTTTTTCGATCTTTTTCGAACGATTTCTCGCTCGATTGCATTTTTAAGATAGGAAGATATTAATTTCATGTGTTACTAATAATAATATAATAATTAGATTATAATATTTTAATCATCTTAAGTTTGTTATTTCCTTCAGAAAATTATTAATTTTGAATGTAATCGAAAATAATACGTGATTTGGATAAAAAACAGTAATATTTGTTTAAACTATAATATAATTTATAACAATAATAACAGTGGTAATAATAATGATGGTAATAACAATAATAATAATATTAATAATAATAAAATAATAATCATTGATATATTATTGTAAAATATAAATAAGTTTGTAGCATGCTCAATGGAAGTGATAAAGTTCAGCTATAGAGAATTAGATTCAATTAGATTAATGAATTTAAAGAAGTAATTAAAAATGTGAGTATACATAGAATTGAATTGAAGTTTTTAAATAAAAGACAGAGAATATACCAGATGAAGAGATTTAACCAACGAACTTGTCAAGTGCTATTTCCTTGAATCACAACTTTAACAGAATTTGCACTATTTAAACTTTAGCGTTTCTAATTATTTCTTAAGTAGATAATTATCAAATTATTCAAGTTCCAACTGCTATATAACAATTGTCAATTAAGATAATTGTTTCGATTAATTTGCCATCAAAAATATGAATTATAATAATTGATAAACAATTAATTTTTCCGAATGATGAAATTCTTTCAATTTTCGATTTTATTCATTAATAAAATTATTAATAAAATGTGAAAAAAATGTTACTGAATACATTAATATAATTAACATTTAATTATCGAGTTAGTAACAATTGTACAAAAATATAAATTTTCGATCGAATTTTTAAAAGAGGGAAAATAAAAAAAATATACTTGGCAGTGAAGAGAATTTTTTTTTTATGGAAACCAATAACGACCAGGAAAGAAATATATAGAATAATCGAAGTTTTACCCCTTAACAGACAATCAGGCGCCAAGGGTTAATAATGCAAGGAATAAAACCTAGTAAGGGGGCCATTTACCCCCTATGTTCTCTTGTAATTTGTACACGCAACGAAATATATATCCTGTTACTAAAAACTAATGATTGCCATTATATATTATATTCATTATACTATATTATCATTGTCATTATATTATACATTATATATATGTAATATTATCTATATAATATATTATATGTATTAACAATATTATTTCTCCTACATTCTGAATAAGAAAAAAAGAACTTCTAAACAAACAGTAAAGATTAAATTCAAATAAAAAAGTTTTCGATAAAAAGAAACTAAAGACTACAAATGACAAAGTTTAAATAAAAAAATAATAAAAAATTCCTTCGAGCCGGATTCGAACCAGCGACCTATGGATTACTACATGATTTAAAAGCCAACTACAGTCCACCGCTCTACCAACTGAGCTATCGAAGGCCTGCTGAAACCTGCCAAGAAGCATCATTTGAATCTCACAACAAAGTGTTACGCCCCCAAAAATTTTCAATACCTGTATTCTAACAATACAAATCGATATAATTGGCCAACCCGAACACATCTATATATTTCTCAAGAAAATCTAAAACGTCAAACTCTTTTATCTGTATACACACTTCATGTGTAATAAGTATAAAATAAATGTAATTATTTTATAAATATTATAATATTGTATAAATATTATAGAAATATAATATTATTATAAAATTATATAATTTATAATTATAATTATAAATATATTATACTCTCAAAATTTGAATTAGTAAAACTGTTTACTGATTTATATTAGTGACTGACGTTTTGCTTCTAAGCTAGTATAATTTAATTTCTAATTAGCCAATTTGTACTAATTTATTAGTAAAGTAAATTAGTAATAATTCAAAAGCAAAAAGTCAGTCACTAATTCAAACTAGTAGACATTTTTACTAATTAAAATTTAGAAAGCAGAATATTACATACAACGTAATTTTTAAAAATTACATAATTATATTATATTATTATTAATAAATATAATTAAAATATATTAATTATACAATTTTCTGTTGAATTATACCTAATTTCGTATTAATTTATAAATATTTTAGTCTCTAAAACAATTGTAAAGTGTTTTGTTTATATAAAATTGTTCCCAGAACCGATAATCATGTTTTAAACAATCATCCACTATTGTTAAACTATTTTTAATAATTTTTCTTCGAATACGTTGCTTTTGTTTAATATAGGATCCAATTGCAAGAGATTACCACTAAGATGACTACTTGTGGTCAGAACTGCAATGCTAGAGTAGGCACTATATACTCTGAATTGAGCTATTGAGTTGGTTCTGAACTCCACAGTCATCAAACATAACTATATAATATTATATTCCAAACTAATAGGGAATTAATTTCCAAAATGCAGCTTTCTAATTAATTATAATACAATATTTATAAAAAATATATTATATTTAAATACTTATACAAATTGTACAAAAATTAAAATATCAAATTAATATAATTTTATTAGTTTCATATTAGAGCTTTTAATTGAAAGTGGATTTTAATAAAAATATTACATTGCTGTGAAATCAACTACCAAAACAGTAATAATTTATAGTAAAATATTTTTAATAATGCATTTAATTAACTACATTATAAAAAAAATTTTAATTTTAAGAAGTATCAACTCTCCAAATTTGAATGAATAAAAATGTTTACGAATTTAAATTAGAAACTGACTTTTTGCTTTTGAATTAGTGAATTTTACTAATAAATTAGTAGAAATTACTATTTATTAGTAAAATTTAGCAAAAAATGAGTCACTAATTAAAATTGATAAACATTTTAATTATTCAAATTTAGAAAAAACATTTTATAAATATATTTTTTAAAATAATTATTTCAATTTAACGACTTTAAAACAAAAAGCATAAAAAAATAACTTTTCTACTTTTTAAGAATACTCATAAATTATTTATCGAGCGAGTTCCACGAGTTGTGGACAAATTGTACAATCATAAAATAATCAAGAAATCATTTTTTTCTTACTCAATTTCATAGAAAATCAACCAAAACAGTTTGCTATTTCTTAAATTGAAAAGAGTAACAAAATTTTAATTTCACAAATAATGAGCTTGCCACTGATAATTTTAAAATGCAATTTACCCTAAAAAATTGCTGATTTTTATTTAACAAAATAATCATTGTATTTTAATATTATAAATAATAATTAAATAATAAATTAAATTATATATATAATAAAAATTAAACAATTAAAATTCAGTATATCTAATATTAATGTCAATTTACACTTACTACAAAAAGTATAACTTCAGATTAATAACAATTTTGTCAAAAATAGAATAATATTGTGAAAAATTAAAAAACTTTTTTAAAAAATAAAAAATCTGTTGCAATTTAATTAAATATGACAATAATTAAAGTTTCACAAAAAAAACAGATATAAAAAGTCATTACTTCTAAAGGAAGATATGAATCATTTTTTCGCAAAAGTCTTAAAAAGTTATCTTCAAAAAAAAAATTCTCCTAAAAATTGTCTTTCTTTATACAAAAATTTTACATAAAATTTATCCTTGAGATAATAAATATTTTTTCCAACTGTAATAAAAATAAAAAAAATTTCAGCCAATAAAAAGAAAGATATGAACTAACATTTGTGCATTGAAAACAATTACTTTTTTTTATGTCTTTTGTTTTTATTTTCAAATTTACTACTTTATAATCAAGAATGCATGCGTATATAAGAATCTTTTAAAAAAAAAGAAAAAACATATTTATTCAATATTTTTGAAAATAATTTTAGTTTCCTCAAATATTTAAAAGTGGCAACTGTTCATACAAAATGAAATTTCACCCCAAAGTGATCAATCAACTAGATGCCAATAGTATCACATCACACGATTAATTCCATCACTTATATACCTATGTACGTATTCATTTCACTTTTTTAAAAAAAATTATTGACACAAATATTTTATTTTATGAAATAAAATATTTAATAAATATTTTATTTCCTTTATTAAAAAAATTTTTATATTCCAACTTTCGAATTATTTTCAAACAATAAATCAAACTTCTCTTATTTGATGAGTGAATCAAGGAATTAAATTTTGAGAAACTAAAATATTTTCTAAATTCAATTAAATAAAATATAAAACATTTATTTTTCTACCAAGCTAATTGTATTTTTTATTATTCTTAAATTCTTTAATAATTTATTGTAATTTTTTGTTTTGATATAATTACAATTTTTAATTCTTTTAATTTTTGGTGTTTTCTTTAATGTATCGTTCATTGTATTATTTTAATTGACTAGCATAGAAGGGAATCAGATTTCGAAAATATATATGTACACATTTTTTACCATACAGCAAAAATAAATTCCCAGTAATAAGTTTCGAATCGATAAAAAAATGCAGAAGCCTGTCAAAAGAGGAACAGAAAAGCAAAGAAAAAAAAAGTTATCAACTTTTGATGGATTGGAAAAATATTTTCTAATGACTGCTTTATAACTGTAAAGAGTTTTCTCCACGACCGTATAATTTCAATTCAACTTATTTTACTTTTTCCCAAAATAAGTTCTCTAGAAAAGAAAATTGCATTTCCAAATTTGTCAACTCAATTTTCAAATAAAGATAAATAAAAATTTTTCTCTATAAAAGAAATATTTTATATGCATACAGAATAAATTCAGTTAATTTATTATTCTGGATCTGATGATCTATTTCAAATCTGATTCTGTTTATAATTTATTCATAAATATTAAAATTCTTAAATATTTAAATTAAAATTTTTTTAAATATTTAAATATTATTAAAATGTTTAAATTAAAATTTTTTTTAAATATTTAAATATTAAATTCAAATTGAAACATAAAATTCTAATAAACATAAAATTTTGCCAATGAGGGAAAAAAAGGTTTGGCATTCGATTACCGTCGTATAAAATATACGACCTCAAGAATTCCAACATCGTGACTCTATAAAAGGGTTACACCCGTCTTATCCTTCTTATTAATGAGGACTCCACTAGGAAATGAAATATCTCATTTGGGAAATATTCATTTTCATGGTCGTGTGCTAAATAAAAATCGAGGGCGAGAAAAACAAAATTGGTCCGAGCAGAGAGAGAATTCCTTAATTTCATCAACAAAATCGAATGTCGTTTATGGCTCTTCATTTTCTTTTTATATTTTGTCATTAAGAAATATAATAAATACGACTCCCTGGTGACTTTCAATTTTTTGCGTGACAATGTCAAAAAGAACCAATCCAATTATCACGCGAAAAAAAGGTTCGGTTGTTGGATTTATATGTTTCTATTATTAATCTATACTTCCATTAACGAAATATAAAAATAACTAAATATCATTTTACTCACGCTCAAAACTGTGTTTTCTGCCTTTAATATTGAATCACTCACCTGAAACATAAACATAAAAATATTGATTAATAATTAAAATTTTTTACTCTATAATATTAAATTTAAAATTAAAAATTAATAAATTATGAATAAAGTTGAGAAAATATTGATTATTGATATTATTCCATTTGCTAATAAACCTAGAACCGACAATTGAAAGCCTACCTAGTTTTGCTCCACGTCTCGCTAATAGCAATCTTGACAGGTAAAGGAAGAATACAAGCTAATCTGACAACGGATTGTTCTCAAGTATGACCTAAAAATTCGACAACTCATTGAACTTATATTTTCAGTTTTGTTTTGTAATAAAAATAAAATAAGAATAAATAGTGAATAAATATTAAATAAATACCGGAAATTCAGCGTTCGGCCACTAAAATCAAATGTCAAAAATAGGACTAAAAAGCAGGAGTGGGGGCAATGGGAGTGACAAAGAAGTCTCCGTACGTCTCTCTCGCTCCAATTGCCCCCACTCTATCACTTTTGCCTTAACCAATGGACACTTTAAAACACAATTAGGAAATAGAAAACAAAAATATTCCCCGACCTTTTAAACAGAAATTTTCTACTCTTCACTAGAAAAATTTTTCTATTAAAAAATTACAGAAGAGTAGAAAATTTCTGTATTATTTTTGGATAATTTTATTACAAAACAGAAACTACCTTCCTAGAATAAGATTTTCAAAATTGTAAAAATATTTTTGACTTTAATGAAAAAGAGAATTTTGCACACAGGGAATTAAATTTAATAAAATTGCAATATTCCCTTCTTGTCGTTTATTTAATATACTATATACTATATAGCGATATATATATATGAATATACAAATTTTATTATTTAGTATATATAGATATACATAAATTTCCTTTACGTCATGAGAGGCAGGATTTCCGTTTCATGAATAAACGTCAATGAGAAAAGAAAAATGTGACACTTTTTCTGCGGATAATATATAAGGTATAATACACACACTCGATCCGAGATTGGAATTAGTGCCACCTCGCGAAGCCATTATACGCAAAGATATTTATCCCTTGGGAAACAAGGGTTACACTTGATGTCAAATATTATATTCCCCTCAATCACATATTAAACCTCAAATTCACTTTAATTCTTTGTGATTTTAAAGAAATTCACAAACGCAAATATTATTTAATATTTCTTTTCCCAAACGATAAAAATATTCCGCCAAAATATTTTTAATTAATTTTATTTTATATTTTCTTTCATAATTTTATAATTTTTAATTTAAATATTGCGATAATATTGCAATCGTTAATTTGTAACAATAATTCTAAACACTTTTTCAACAATTTTCCAACATTTTTCAACAATTTCTTAACAAAAGTTGACAAAATTTCCGAAGAGAAACGCCCATAAGAAGCTTCTACTAATTTTATTCGCTGCTTTTCAAGGTCAGAAGGCGACGATTGGCTGTTGGAAAAATGACCTTGAAAGACAGCCAATAGTACGAGTGGGGGAGGAGCTTCTTTTCTGCATTCTTCTCAATTTTATTAAAAATTGCACCAAAATAAAATTTGAATTAAAATATTTCGAACATATATAAAAATTCTACATTTTTCGATCAAATTTATATTTAAATTAATAATTAATAATTAATTAACAGCCGAAGAGACTAATTAAAAAAGAAATATTATTACTGAGAATATGCTATCTTTATAAGACAGTGACACAGAATACGATTCACAAAGGTGTAATATCAATATTGTTAAAACAGTTTTATTTGGTTTGAATGACAATTGCATTAGTGATTTACAAACATATTGATGAATAATTCTTTATTCCCGCAGGACAATATTTTTAAGCAATCGTATTATAAAATATTGATTTCTCCCTTCATAAACTAAAATTAGAAGTAAAACAAAAACTAAAATAATAATAATAATAATATAATAATTATATAAAAATAAATATTTTCTTCTCTGTACGAATGAAGTTTAATAAAGTTATTTATTTTCAATAATAATACTTTTTTTTACTTTAATAATACTTTTCCTCTTTTTTTATTTTTTGAATTAAATGTAATGCAATACAAAATGTGATATAGTATAAATGATATAATTGGACAAATATATTATTCATACTTTATTAATTATTAAAGATGCAAGTACACTGTACTCAAAATAATTAGATTCCATTTTAGAGAGAAAGTAGAAAACTTTAAAAATAGTTTAGCGTGTAAAGTGACGATGAAAATAGTTTGGCACTCGCCGACACCTAATTCTCAGATATTTATTAGTCGAAGTAGTGTATTCTTGATGTTACATCACACTAAATAGTTAAAGCTCGCTTTTATTAGATTCTACACTATAAGTAATTGAAATTTATAGTAGACCGTAAACTTTTTTTTTCTTCAACAATATAATGAAAATTAACTTTTTAATTATTCGCGTAAAACTCGCAAACTTTATACAATTTATATTAAATATAAATATATTTTAATTTTCAATACACAAGGGAACGTTTTAATGGGTACATAATAAACTTCAGTTTTCATGCTTAAAAAGCAATTTTATCATTTTTGCACGTTTTTCAAATAAAACCGTTCGGGTTTATTGATTGACGTGGTGTATTGATGTGTCAGCAAGAAGAAAATTGATTTGGCTTCCCATTAGTTATATACAAATATCTAACACACGGTTGCTTACTAATCTAATCCAATTATAATCGGGAAAAGTACTTGTGTATTTTTTCCCGGATTAGAAGTATCGATGTCAGAACAACGGATTAACTGTTGATGACTCAATTGTACATTTCCCTTTAAAAATAAATGCGTCAGACGCAAAATTTTAAAAATAGAAATATTTTAACAAAGCTTTTTAGGAAATTTTCCAAAAAAATAATCTTAGAATATATAGAATTCAATGAACCGAAATCTACTCTTAGAATTTCTATATATTTTCGAAATTTACAAAAGCTTTGCAAGAAGGAAGCATATATACATGAAACATACATGCAAGTATACATGAGAAGGGAATAAAAATTGCTTCAATATTGAAAATCCATGAGAATAAGTGAGATGGAAAGAAAAGGAAAAATTGACAAGTTTATGTAAGGAAACACCTTCATTAGAAATTTTTTCAAACCAAGTCACGTTCACAACTAAATCACTACGGCGTCACTTTTGCCACTTTTAGCCCAAGTATTGTATAGAAGTATGGTCTTAAAAATCCATCGGAAAAAGAAAATTGCACATTTCCGGAAGAAGGCAATTCAACGACCTTTTTCGTGCTCTACTTCCAGATTAGAAAAGCTCTCACGTCAAGTATTTACCGATGTACCTGATGTACACATAAAAACTATTCCAAGTCGTTTTTACTAACACCAATTTTATCTTAAGAATATTTTTTCCTTCCCTCCTTTTTTTTGGAGGAATAAATCTCATTTTATAAATGTAACATATTCTCTCTACAAAATATTTTCTGCTTTTTGGGTGTGTATAGAAATTAATTTCGTATAGTATGACAAACATAATATTTGTT